ACCAGAAACAGCCTTTGCTGAGTTCCTAGTGCCCGGACCCACTGGAGGGAGCAGTAACTCAGACTCTGGATCCTGTTGCCAGGACTCTGTGTATTTTTCATTAGCCATTGGAAAAGCTACAGAAATATTCTAGGGGGAAGGTAACTGGATTGCAGTAAGCTTCCCATACAAATTCAGGCACTTCGTCTCCACGGCACCTAAGCAAAGTGGACAGGGATTTCTTTCTACCATTTTCTTAGGCTGGGACCATACTTAAATTGTGTATCAGATCTTTAAGTGCTCTTTTGGATTTTGCTCCTATTTTGGCTAAGCTCCATTGCTTCAAATTTAAACTGGTTTCCATTTACGGGATAAACAGCAAATAAATCTGATTAATCCCACTGAAGTTCTGTTATTTCAGCTCAGGGCTAAAATTGTCCTCACTCTCTATCCATGAATCAGGCACCAGTAACAGAGGAAAACAGAGCCCTCTGCTGCAGTAGCTACGACTGCCTGACGCGCAGTAAAGCAGCAAACAGCATCCAGAGAAATTAAGCTGCGTACAATTGATAGCAGCCTGGGTGCCAGTCAGGAGCTCAGGCATGTTGAAATCCCATCTATGGGGATGCAAAAGATGGAACCAGGACCAGTCCTTTCAACCTACAATACTTGGAAATGATTTGCATTACTGTGCAGCTGCCCTGTTCTCTTAGCAGTGAGGCCCGTGGGAAACAGTGTTCAATTACTTTTGGCTCGGAGATTTCTCCCTGCAAGTCTCTTAATAGGAAAGAAGAAGTACTAAGACTTGCGGTAATTCCTGCCCCCACACTGCAATGAGCAAAACCGGTCCTGTCAGCATACAGCCACCACACTCAGAACAGAGTTTTTGATGTGGAAACAAAGAAAAGCCTCTTACGTGGTGTCCTCCCACCGCTGCAGACACTGGCTGTGAAAGCTGTGGTTACACAGAGTGGTAAGAATCCCGTTCACAGACTCATCCATCCTCTCGAGGCACACCGTGCACTTCGGGAGCTCTGTCAGATCCATCACAGGCAGGCTGGCCCCCTTCAAAAGAACAAGCAGAGACAAATTGCTCAGCACCCTCCAATCACCATAAATTAAGCACCTGCATTGAAAGTCAAACTTCTCTCCCATTACCACCAGCACTAGGGTACAGTACAAAGCAAGCCTGCGAGTCTATGCAGTGGTTACAAATTTACCAAGGTAAAAAGCAATCTACAGCCTTCAGCAGAGCACAGCCCCATCAGAGCACAGGGTGAGGAGGCTGCTGCAGCTGCCACAGCCCCATGACATTTTCTGGATCACTGCAGCTGGCAGGTTTAGGTCAGAGATGCTGCAATGGCGAGGCTTGAAGCCTATAGAAATCACCAAACAAACCTCTCCATGTAGAAACAATACTGGAACAGGAAACAGATTTCAAACTGATACAGTTAAACACTGCTTGCAGTGTTCTGCTCAGAAGAAGTACTCCTGTTAGAACTCTCTGAAGTCCAGAAAAAAGGAAAACAAGATAAAAACTTACATCTTCTGACTTGAAGACTTCAGCCCTTTCCACGTACACGAGCTGGCAAACATCCTCCTCTATGGAGTTGAACTGCCGACCATTGCACGCCATGTAAAAGCTATCTGCATCAGCCTGTGCACAAAACAAGGGGAGGCTGTTGAAAGAAAAAGCCCGCAGCTGACACAGACAGGGAGGAGGAGACATCTGCTGTATCCCTGCTTCTTCTCTCCACCAGGTCCCATAACAGAGGAGAAATTTCAGAGAACCAGCTCCTGCCAGCAGGCATCGCATCTTGGCACCGGGTTTAATGCTACCACTTGGAGATGGGAAGCAAAGCTGACAGCAACGATGGTTACTGATAGCTGAGTATTCAGCAGGAATGACAGAATTCCCCTTCAGCATCTGTTTTGCTTCCTGTCAGTGATTTCAGCGCATTTGCAAAGCAAATTTGGTTTCTTTGCAAAAACTTCAGAGCATCACATTGCACAGGACACTGACACTTGTGCCAGGGAAAAGAACGATTCAACTGTGGGAAAGGATCCACTGCATCAGGAACAACTCAGACGTGCTCCAAACCATCTGCGGGAGCCATCAGGTAGAGTCACCAGGTAAAGAGGCAGAACCCAAATCAAATCTAACAGATGTCACCCCTTTCACTCAGCCACCTCCCTTTCACCTGGCGAAGGATCACAGCAGGTTGGGAAAAAATGAGCTGAGCACCACACTGCCCTACTGCTAACCACTGGAGCCAGGTACACAAAGGCACACGAGATTTGTTCTTGCTGCATATAGAGACAGCTGTTAGGGGTCACTGGGGAACGGGGCTTCAGGAAGTTTCTGAAGCAACTGCAATTTCAGGGTGAACTGACCATGGCTTTGTGGTTTTGATGCAAGGCTGCTCAACACCAGGTATTTGTCCATCACATTTTATACAGCAGAATGCAAAACACATCTCCGCAGCCGCTGCAAATGGCACAGACTGCATTCAAATGCTGCATCTACACAACAGGCATGGAAAATGTCTCATGCAGCACTGACAGCTAGGGAAAGAGCTGACCAAAACTTCTCTCAAATCCCTATAAAGGAAGGTACAGGTGAGAGCCCACATAGAACATAATGGGGGAATAGCTGTAAGCAGCACTGTGTTATCCAGTGATCCACTTACCCCCAGGCTGCCCGTTTTGGGGCAGGCTGTCCTTCTCACACTGTACTGGCAGTGGCTAAGCCATCACCTCACTCCTCAGAGATATTTATTAAAATATAAAGTGCCATTGGCTGCCTTCTTTCTGCTCAGCAAAGCACAACGCCACTGTGTCTGCAAAAGTGCTTGAAGGTAGCAGAGGCAGTTTGTTTTTACGTGCTTAATAGTTTTAAATATCCTACCAACAAGAAATAGTGGACACGGAACACGACACACGCTTGTCTACAGGACAAGGTGCCAGATAAATCCCTGTCAGTAGCCCCAGGAAAGTGCTGGGCAACAGGAAGGCACTGCCCTCCTACACAGCACCTATAAGGCACTGCAGTCCCCCCTATGGCAAAGGGACTTCCAGCTCTTACCTGGGAGCTAAACTTTATCAGCACCATGTACTGGTTGGGAGTGGAGTCTCGGATGATTTTCATGTGCTCAATGACTTCATAGAAAGATGCCACAAACTTCATCAGGTCATGACTGGTCATGGTGGCAGGGACTGTGAGGATACACAGCATGGCACTGCGCCTCACATCTTCTTTTAGAGAGGTCATCTTGCTGCAAGACACCAGTTACACAGCATCACGTCATTCCAGAGGTCAAAGCTGCGCGTCACACTTCCACCAACTGCAGTTACAAGGATAACTCTGCTGCTGATCCAAACCCTCTTTTGCACATTTGTAAATGCTAAGAAGGAAAAGGCTGAGGTAGGAACCTAAAACGCCCGCATGAAACTATTACTTCTCAACAAAGTATTACAATGGGAAGCTTCAATCAACATTGGCTTTGTCAGGAGTATTTGGTCATCTGCTCTTCCCTAAAAAAAAAAAAAACAAACAGCTGAGCCTGGCAAGTCACAGATGCTCAGAACTGTTCCTTTTACAAATGAACAACCCTTGCTACTATTTCAAATGCTCCTTTTGTCTCTGATAGCTTTCAAGACGACCCAAAATGGAATTTCCCGTGGAATTAGAAGGGAAGAGTGTGGAACTGTAATCCCTGAAATACAGAATGAAAGCTCCCACTTCAGAGAAGTTCCTTAGGCATGCAGACAAAACCCTGGAGATAACAGCTTAACTCTGGATCCCTCAAGAAGCTGCACTGCTAGGAACCCACGATCACCTCACGTTCTCACAGCTCCTTGGCATACATGCTGCCTGTAGGAGTGTTGCCCACAGCCAGAAGACCCAAGCCCAAGCCCCAGCTTTTCCCCAAGGCTGGTGGCAGTGTAGGTGTACAGCACCCTTCCTGTTTGTCCCTGCACGGCCAGCTCAGGAGCCACAGCCCCAGGGTGAGCAGCTCACCCTTCCGGATGACCTCATTACTCACCAGCGCCATTCCCACTAGAGCTACAATTAGTCAAGCATTCTTACTTTGTTTTGTACAGATGCATAATGCCATGAACGATTTCAACTGACGGATTCCCGCTGAAGAAGGAAATCTGGTCAGGGAGCTGTTTTGAAGGCGAGTCTGGAGCAGCCTCACGCTCTTTGTTTTGATCATCCTGTTTATTTTTGTCCTCAGACGACGCAGCCTCTGAAGATTTTCTTGCTTCCATGGCAGCTTTTGCTTCATCTTTCCAAACAAAAGCTTTAATTACCACACATGAGAAACGTCTACAGTTCTCTAAGCACAGCCTGACACAATACTGCAGACTCTCAGAACTCCACTGTGCCGGATGAGATCCGATATGAACCGCTATCAGCCAGGACGGCTTCCACACAACGACACAACCTCAGGGCTTAGAAGGGATCTCTGCAACCCCCACCCTTCCCATCTCCTCCGGCGGCAACGAGCGTTGGCACATCCGCATTCCCACCTTCAACCCAGGGGCGATTTACGGCCCGCCCGGTGCCGGTACCTGCCCGCGGCCGGATGGTCTCGATGATGATGTCGGTCATCTCCCTGCGGCCCAGGTGCTGGTGCAGGATGGCCGCCCTCTCGCCGGGGCCCTTCCCTTCCAAGCAGGCCGGGATCGCCCCGCTGCTCTCCGCGGCCATCTCCGGAGCTGCGCGGGAGGAAAAAGCGTTGAGGCGGGCATCGGCGGCAGCGCGGCGCCGGCCCCCGCCCCGCCGAGGCGCTCCCGGCCCCGGGGCGCCGACTCACCGGCCGCGCTGTAGGCGAAGCCGGCGGGCAGCGGGGAGAGCTCGGCCAGCTCCAGGCGGATCACGACCAGCGACACGCTCATGGGCCCGGCGCCGCGGGACCCTCCGCGCTGCGCTGCCGGCCCGACGGAGACCGAGCGCCGCTTCCGCCTCGCGCACCTCTGCCCTCTCACCCCGCCGGGGTCACGCCGCCGACGCGATGACGTCAGGGGGCGGCGGGGGGAGCCGGAAGGAGCCGCCTCGGAGCGGGCTCGGCACCGTGGCTCACCGCGAGGCTTAGCCGCGAGTTCTCGCGAGACTTGGCGCCGCGCTGCCTGACGAGCGGTTGCGGCTCAGGGCCTCGTGCTTGCAGAGAGGCGGCGTCCTGTCACGGCCGGCTGCGGCGCGTCAGCACGGCGGCACGCTGCGCACAGGGGCGGGCCGCATTCCTTTCTGCCACAACGCCACCGAAGCATTTCCTCCGCGCTGCTTCCATATCTCAGCGCTCAGGGCCCGCCGCGCCAGTTTCCCCAGAGGGCAGCACTGCGATCCGCGGGCCACGCGGCTCGGCGGTCCTCAGCGGGTCTCTCGCCGTTCTCCCTTCGATCCCAGCACGCACCTGAGCAGCGCTGCCTGCGCCCCTTCCCCGCGCCGGGCTGCTGCTGTCCCGGGGCCGTGGCTGCGCAGGCGGTGAGGCTGAAGCTCGTATGGAGCTGTGATCTTTGATGGAGCAGAGCGCTGCTCCCGGCCCCCCAGGACACGGCCGCAGGAGCGTGCGCTCACAGCGTCTTCGCTCTGGGTTCCTGTACACAAAACGCATTTCACGTCTCCATCGGACACCTCCGTGCAGTGGTGTGGTGCTGCCCGACGTTCCCAGTCACACCATTAGAAGTGCTGGAACTGACAGCTGTGTTGACATCTGCAGCTCAGGGCCTAACCGCAGCTGGAGGTAAAACTGACCTGCAGGACTCTTACAGAACCAGCTGTTTTCACCCCAAGGGCACTACACCAAAAGTGGGTTCAGGGTTTACACCGAAGGAAAGATGTGGCCCATCACATCAGTTCTCACGAGTGCTGGTCTTACACATCAGATTTCAGAGCTGTAGAGGAATTTCAAGCTTGTTTCCCAGTTCTGACGATGCCGTATGTGCTCTCTCCTGGCTTTCTTACTTTTCTCTATGTAGGCTGGGAGGCCCAGAATTGTATTCCAGCTGGCACCGTCCAACAAGGTCTGCACTCTGGAGGGGAAAACAGTCTCTCTCTCAAGTATGCAAGAGGAGAGCTGACAACTGTGGAGTTTTTGCAGGAATTGGGACAGCGGTGCTTTGAGATTGTAAGCTACATCCCCATCCCTCTCTTTATGCTTCCTGACTACAGGGAAATGGGACCCTGTGGCATGGGAAGCTGGTGGTTCGGTGAGGATTGTAATTTTAAAGGAAATCCTCCAATGGAAGCTTTTGGGTTTTACCATTAAAGAAGCATCAATGTCTCAATAGGGCTGGCAGCTCATTGCTGCTATCATTCTGCTGCCAATGCAGGATGGTGAGCAGAATATACATTCACTTCCACCAGCTTCCTCTTCTGTATTTCATAGTTTCTGATACCAAGAAGGACAAATGAAAGAGCAGCTGAAAGGCTTTTGCTTCTAGCTGGTGCACAAACATACTCCATGGGTGGAGACTGGTCTCAGTAGAGATTTCTTAAAACCAGGAGAAGCCCCTCCACCATAGCTTTTGTTTGCCAGCTCCAGGAGCATCATGTCAGAATCCTCTTTTTAATGCAGTCTTTTTGAATCTAAAATGCAGATTCCTTTCCTGCCTGTTAAATGGCACTACAGTGTTTATCTCCAACCTGCCTTGATTCCATGACAGGCACAATCCTAGCACATTTCTTGTTCCCAAAATCAGCCCCTTAGCTTTGCTGCTACTGTAGAATCTGACAACGCCCGTTTCTTTGGTCTAAGCAATTTAGGTGGGAGATTCACTGTCTGCCTTCTACTGCCAAGGGAAGTAGGACAGCAAGATAAGACAATCAGGCAGCCTCTCTGCTCAGCCATTCCTATTTTCTTTCCTGCTTAAAAACTGTGTATGACTAATAACCATTCTTGGGGGGTAGGGGGGCTCTCTCAGGCAAGTATCTGTGTTCCAGTGAACTCTTTCCTCACCGACTTAATCAGAAGTGAGATGATAAAACAGCTTCCCATAATGGCAGAAGCAATACAGTGTATCCATGCAAATGGTCTTAAGATAGCTCTTCTAAGCAACAGCTTCCAGCAGCCAAATGGAGAGAGCTTTCTGCCCTGGACCAAAAGCATTTTGATGTGGTAAGCCCAGATGGATTGTAAAATATATTTCTGAAGCTAGGTCTATAGTAAAGAGCAACTGAAATTCTTTGCTTACAGATACCAAAGGGAGGGCCACCCACAACATGTTAGTAGATATAAATGTGGCAGTCTGTGAAGATGCATAGCTTGCTGTAGCACAGATTGTCTATCATTGTGGGGGGAAGTACTGCTTGAATTTGTTTTGGCTGTGATACCTATTTGGATACAAAGATCTCAATGTCAGTCTCCAAGTTCAGAGAGATGGTTTTGGTCAATGCCTCTTCTGCTGTAAATATCACTTTAGCATGGCTAATAGGTGCAATGGTCAGAACACCACTTGTCCCTATAGCTCAGATGGTGATGGTTAAAACAATCAGAAAGATCAATAGAATTGTGATACAAGATGTATAATGACAAAGGGACAAACACAATAGAAAGACATTGTAAGGGAAGAAACGAAAAAGACAGCTCACCCACCTCTGAAGATCTAGGCTCACAAATGAAAACTCCACAAAGGAGGGATCTCCAGAAAGAAATCCTTCCCTAGTGGCAGTGAGCCCTTAAATCTAAGGTCTAAGAGAGGTGCAGTCAGGCTCCACCTCTTCTGGTCACACAGCTGAATTGCCTTCACCTGTGCTCCCAGGGCTGACCGTCCTTTCCCCAGGTGCTCAATCAGTGCTTCAGGCCAGGACTTAACAGTTGCCAGAGAGTGGTGCACTCCAAAACTTTCTTAGACAGCTCTGAGGAATTGGTTCAGCACATCTGGGACATCTATTGAGTCTTCTACATCATGATATTGTGATATTGTTTCATTGGATATCTTCTGTCCAAAGACTGGCTGGTCCTGTTCAGCTTATTTGAGCTGATGGAGCCACAGCCAAGGCAGTTGGCATCCACGCAGCCACTTGAATCACATCCTATCCAGCTCTGTCAGCCCTCCGTTCCCTGCGTCCTTTATTTCACAAATTACTGTGCCTGTCAGTCTCACTCCCACCCTGCTATGCTCTGTTTCCAGAACTGCACAGATGTTTGTGGTCACAGCAGGCTCATGCATAACCCATTGGTTGTCACCACAGATAGCTGAAGCTTATTGGGAAGGAAAGTGCAAGCCAGATCCTCGCATCTACAAGCTGTGCTTGGAGCGCTTGGATGTTCAGCATCAGGAATCCATCTTCCTCGACAGCAGCAGCCAGAACCTGAAAGCAGCAGCTCAGCTTGGTATTAAAACAGTGAAGGCACGAAGCAGTGCAAACAGGGCAAGGGTATGGTATCTCAGTCCAAAGCTTCAAAGGAAGCTCTGAGCCTTCATGTATCTGTCATCGGGGGAATGGTTAGCTTTCAGGATTTGGAGATAGCGAGTTCAGGCGTTTTACTTTGGTGAGGGGACCACTGGGGAAAGAATAAGTCAGAGATGGGTGGAAACTCTGCTCCCCAGGATGGCACACAGGGAATGCCAGCTCTTACCCCAGCCCAAACTGGCACTCTTGGGGACAGAGACCAAGGTGGGAGGCTGTGAGTACTGGTAATGGCACTGTGTGTTGGCCAGGACTGACCAGTGAATTCCTGTGTGTCCAAGTGTATCAGTGCCATTGGACTCACAGATAAAAGCACCACAGCTGTGTGGAGCTCCTTCTTCCCTAGGCAATTGTATCTTCTAATTATCATTCTGTGTCTTTCCCTCCCTTCTGCTTTCAGGTTGATGATCTTGAAGTAGCATTCAAAGAGCTGGAAACCTATCTAGGTTTTCCTTTGAAAGGGTTTGTTCCATATACTCGTTCTATGAGACCAACCATGGACATTCCAAAAGACAGTCTGCAAAAGTACCTTGAAAACGTTTTCAGTGACCAGGCAACAGGTATTGCAGCACCTTTTGCTCTTCAGCCTGAAAGCTCACATGTCCTGGAGTGATTGCTCCTTTCCATTTTATAAAAAAAAAGTGGGTTGAAAAACAATATTCATGAAAGTCTCCTAATCTCCAAGCAAACACTGCAGCCATACAGGCTTCAGTGGCGCAGCACTGTTGGACCAAAAGGCAACATTTAAAGACTTCATTATTTGTGAGGCGTTGAGAAAAGCTGCAGAAGAAACACCAGGAGTATTTCTGACCTGTAAGGCACAGGCACATGAATGAAAAGTAAAACCTGGAGAAGTGGTGAGAAATAATCCCACCTTATGCTTTGTCTGCTGACCCTCTGCACTCAATTCTCCAGGTCCGCTGACGCTGTGGCAGTTTGGCTGTGGACAGTCTGCCCAGACCTATTTTGTCAAGTTTGGAGATCGTTCATGGTGCTGAAGAAGGAACTCCTTGACAGCCTGCTTCCTTCAGGTCCTGCTGTTGGAAGGGAATACGGGTGAGAAGGCAGCGTGCAGTTAGGACCCTCTGCCTTTGAAACGCATCCTCTGCACTCCTACTCTGCAGATTACTCCAAGCCACAAAGCACACACACAGCTCTCACAGCATGTCAGGAATAGGATCTTGCTATGGCAGCTGGAACCTTGAGTGGGAGAGAAGTTGCAGCTCAACAACACTGCAGTTGAGCAGCAAGGAGCCTAGCTGAGGGCAAGTCCTTGCTGGTGGAGTCATGCTGCAAACCAGCTTGCTGTGCCAGAGATCTGTGCCTCAGCAGCAGAACAGCATGACACTTGTGGGAGGCTGTTGTGTTTTCCAGAGTGTGTTGGATAGGTCTCAGGGCTCTGGGCCATACAAAGATTTTGGTGTGCTTCTTTCCTATATCTCAAGCCATCTCATTTTAATGTATTTAAAACTGAACACTTGATTCTTTTAGATACTGTGCATCTGCCTAACAACAACACAGTTCTAGTATTGATTCCGAAATGCCTTTGTGTGCTGAAACAGCTCTCTGACTTACCCTGGCAGGGTACTGAAGGCACTGAGGCTGGTGTTCCTGTTCCTACTGTACTTGCTCTGTGTGAGGACAGAAGGTAATCGTGTCCCTCAGCTTTCATTTTTGGCTTTATGACGCCAGCCACAATCCCCCAGGAAGAAGAGAGGAGTGTTTATACCAGGATGGATCAGGTGTGAGACCTCAAGCAGCAAACAGGTGTTTTTGTGGAAGTGTACCATGAAGACACAGTGACTCCAGGGATGCAAAGGCAGCTGTGAGAAATGACAAGCTCTTATAGCTTATCTCAGGGAACTGGACTGAGGCCTGCTTGGCTCTTTGGCAGTTTCCACATGTGCCTTTTTTGTATCTTTCATGAAACCTCTTTGTGCCTGTTCTTTTCCCTGAGAGTCTCCATTCCTTTGTTACCGGTAATTACATCCAGCAGCAAGTTGATACCTGGACAAAGCAGTATCGAGCTATGGAAACACGTTATTCCAGCCATGGAGAGACTCACTGAGTGGCTGCCTTTGCATTTTTCTGAATCTCAGAAGACAACAGTTGTGCATGGCAATTTCAGGTACTGCCCTCTCAGTTTCCTTGGCAGTAGGCTGCTGCCCTCTCCTGGGTGTCAGTCTGTGGAAGGCTGTACTACATATGATCTACAAAACATGACAGTGGAGGGCCTCAGGTTACTTAAAATGATCACATGGTCCCCCTGGACAGTGACATGCCTGCTTCTTCTCTTTTTGGCTAGCCTGTCCTCTAACATGTTAATGACCTGAGGACCCAAATAACTTTGTTTCATTCTTCAAAGCGCAGTTATGTTCATTATTAACCAGGGAGTTCACTATTGAGCAATTTCAGTCCTCTCTGACCTATACATGCTCAAATTAATGTTTCACTTGTGCAGCCTCCCAAAGAACTCAGCAATTTTTGCACAGTGCATACTGCTTCTGAGTGCTGAGATTTTCTCCCTCAAGATCTTTCTGATTTCTTTTTTTCCCTCTGATACAGGCTGGACGACCTAATCTTTCACCCAAAGAGGCCAGAAGTCCTTGCAGTCCTTGGCTGGAAGTTTTCAATTCTAGGAAATCCCATCTCCAATTTGGCAAATAACTGTATGGCTTATGACTTACTTCTTGCCACCTCAGTTCGACCCAATGAAAGGTACAGAAAGGGGCAAAGTCACATCTGACACAGAGAGAATGCGAATTCAGAAACAGATTAACTCCTGCTCTTGGAGAGGTCAGCTGACAGTTGGCTCATTGCAGTTGGAAAGGGCTGCGGATCATGTACTTTATTCCCTGTTCTGCTCTTTCTCTGAAGAAGCCTCCATCCCTCCATGGCAGAAGCACTGCATGTGCAATGATCGCTGTGCCACGATCGCTCCGTCCCACGTCTGGTTTGGTGAGAAGTGGTATGAACCCTACTGTGGGCAGCCTGTCAGTCAGTCACTGTTTGCACAGTCTCACCCCATTGAAGAAAACACTTGCATATGTATTTCACCTAAGTGAATTGGTGCCAAACCCCCGTTCTATGTATGGAAACAGCACAGCAGCAGCATTACATGGCTGCAGGTGTCTCCACTGCTCCACAGCTTGCAGGGCTCTGCTAGAAAGCAGTGAGCTTCACAGAATCTGCTGACTCATTGTTGCCCTTTGTGTCATCCAGGCTTGGCAAAATATGATTTGAGGCACCTGGAGTCCCTGCAGCAGAGAGGTATTGCCAGAAGTACTGTGGCCGCATGGGAAGGAGCTCCCTGAGAACCTGAATTTCTACGTGGCCTCTGCTTTCTTCAGACTGGCTGCAATGCTGCAGGGACTCCTCAAACACTCTCTGACAGGTGAGGAGCCCAACCACACTGGCCCTGCTTTACAGAGGTCCTCAGCCAGCAGCACAGACACGCAGCACTTCATGGAGAGCTCTCACACTGAACTAGGGAAGGTCGGACCACCAGAACGTGCTGCTGCAGGGTTGGGGCACTCCTGGCTTTGCATGCTGAGACCTCTGAAATTTCAGGCACTAGAGTAAAATGAGGCACTCCTGAGAGTTAGTTGGATCAGCAGGAGAGCAAAGCGGTTTTGTGTTTTCACTGTAGTACATTTTGTGGTCGAGTTGTGTCTTGCAAACAGAAAAAAAGGCCAAAGGGGAACACACACACACAGAGCGTTTCCCCAGCTGCTGCTCTTTCCTGGACACAAAGTCTGGACTGGGCTTGTTTTCTTTGCTGATTGGAGGTTGCTGTGTGCTCACTTCTTTATTGGGAGGGCTGAGCAGAGGCCAGAGTTCAGAGCTCCTACAGGTGGAGCTCTCAGACTTTTGAACTAAGCCTCAGAGGGATTTGGAAGCAGGGAGGCGGTGTGTACTTTCATTGCTGATTACCTGCATACATCAGGCCCGGCCTGGGAGTTTTCATCAGAGAAAAACAAGATGTTATTTTGGAATTCCTTAGAAAAGAGTCTCTCTGAGTCCTGCTGTGCTGGCCTGGACAAGGACACAGGGCACTGTTTGAGATGTGTACTTCACACAGCTTCTCTGAAGCTTAAGCATCTTACTCTTGTCCCCGGGGAGGCCAGCCTGAGGTAAAAGCTGTCTGGAGCATGCAGAGTTTGTGGCTGATCTGGCTTGGAATTTTTGCCATAACAGAAGGATCCCGTGTGTTTGACAGCCTCTCCATTGCAAAGCCTTTTGCACAACATTACAGTACCTGGGCCAGGCAAGGGCTGCAGCAGGAGCCACAGTACCTGGACACGTCCTGATCACTTCCTTCAGCAGCCTCTTGGGGGTGGCCCAAGGTCTTTACTGCAAGCTGGCAAGGATCTTGGATGTCCAGTGGAGCTTTCTGATTTCCCAGCCCAGATGCACTCCACATCCTGTTCTGGAAAAGGTGAGACCTCTTCCTTCCTAAAGTAGCGTTGCATTGCTGTACCGATGCCAGAGTGGAGGACTGTGCAGTGCCTCTAAGTGTCCTTGCATTCTTGATCACATCAGACACTTAGCACTCATAAGGTCCAGTGACTTGGAGAAATGGGGCCCGTTTCCTTTTCCTTGCTACATTCAGATAACAAGAGTTCATATTCTAGAAAATGGCAATTTCAGAAGCTGGCACTCCCTTCCAAGATAATTAGCTAATCACCAGGCTAGCTGTAACTGCAGATGCTGCTCCCTCAAGCTGCTGCCACCAACACTGATGGAGTCTCCAGAGGCTGGCTGGCCTGGAGCCTTTCAGCCCAGTGCTGTCAGTCCAGTGCTTGCTCACTCCTTTCTCCCAGCAGGGCTGTCCCTGCAGATTCCCCTATTGGCAACCAGTTGTCTGCCCAGTGATAAACTTGTGATCCTGCCCTCAGCAGTGCAGGCTCTGGGATGACACCTGGACTTCAGCCCTGCCACTTTCTTGGCCTCTCTTGCACAGAGCAGGTGCTGCTGCAGCCTTGAACCGTTAAAATGGAGAGCAGTGGTTGGTTTTGGTGTGGCGGTGAGGAGGCAGAAAGCAGCTACCAAAATGACTTTCCCATAGTCATGTGGAGGGTGAGTGGTGGTGAAGAGACCAGCATCAAGTCTTGAGTGGTAGAACATCTGCCAGCGTGAGGCATTTAGGGCCAATATGTGGACGATATGAAGACATTTGGTCTCCTGTCCAGGCTCTCCAAACTGATTTCTCTGTGCTTACACTCCCCAGTGCTACTGATGAACATGGTGTGGTTCAGTGTGCATGTGACTCTGTGCTGACTGATTTGCTGGGAGTGGTACCTTAAGTAATCATTCACAGTGTGTCACAAAAGAAAACAACACTAGTCTTGAACTGCCACTGGGATTACACTCTTAACCTATTCTAGTGGCATTGTCAAATACTAGTGGGTTACTTAACTACCTTTTCACTGCCAAAAAAAACCCACCCATCTGTTGTTCAGCCTTTCAGAAACATTTCCTTGTGCTATGCAGAAACCAGCAAAAAACAGCATTTCGGAGTGCTCAGCAGCTGATTCTCCAAGAAGATGGAAAAGAAGGAAAAGCAATGGCTCTAGGCAATTTAGAAATGCTGAGATGAGCATATCTTTTTGCCTGTTTCCTAGGCACTCATTTTCAGACCTGGCAGAGTCAACAAGTCTCCAAAATCAGGGCTGTGGCCTGGCCATGTGGAGAACTGGTCCTTGCCTGGCAGAGCAGACAGACCCCTCATCCTTGCCTTCCATCCACCCCACTGCTTTTCCCAGTGGTATCGCACTTCAAATGTCAACCTTTGCTATGGAAGCATGTCGTAAAGGCCAGGCGAGGAGGCCAGAGTGGAGTCCTGCTGCCTGCAGGGGAAAGATAATGCAGCAGAGCATTAAACAGCTGAGCAGTCCTGGCTGAGAGCTGTCGCAGCAATGAGAAGCTGGGCCAGCGCCAAGGGAAGGGCTAGCTGGCACTGCAGGGGCAGGCTTCATCCCTGACTGGGGTGATGTGCATTTGCTAAAACAGGGAAACCCTGGGCTGATCCTGCCGTGTCCTGTATGGGAACCTGCAAACTTAGGTCCCAAAGACTGCCCATCCCTACATCCTCTGCATGGAGAGAGCAATGCGTCTCATCCTCTTCCACCAGCACCAAAGTAATGTCTCTGATGATGACTGTGCAGGCCATGGGTCAGGCTAGTCAGGTGAGCAGATATATGCACCTAACTTATGATCCTTCTGTGGCCCAAATAAAGCAGCAAAGGGACACCCCAGGGTCAATGATCCTAAGGACTGGTTTGTCCTGTCTGTTGTTGCAGATCCCAGGGAAGGAGTTGAGGCATTTGATACTGTGCTTCCTTAGTCCTGCAGTCCTTTATTTGCTCTTCATGGTGTTAATCTTATTCTCACACAGGTCTCTGGAGCAGAACATCTCAGCAGTGTGTCCTCCAGCTCAGCACTCCACTCAGACCTGAGCCCTACATCTGGCTGAAGTTCCCACATGGTTCACAGGACAATGTTCTCCAAACTGGAGCTGAGCCACTGCACTGGGAGCCTTGGAACATGTAACTAAAACCACCCCTCTGGCATGGAGAAGGTTGTGCTATCTGCAGCCTTGAAGCTTGAGAATTTCAGTGGTATTTACTGTTATCTGGGCTCAGTGCCTTTATTGCCAGATTCAATACAGGGCAAAATCCCTCCCTGGATCATGATGCTGCAGACAATCAGCAGCCTTGCAGTGGGGAGCACTGATTAGCAACAGCCAGGCTGGGGTTGCAAGTCTTGGTTTTGGGAGTATAGGAAGCAGAGTGGAGCTTCTCTCCTTAGCACAACACCTCCAGCAATCTGAGGGTGCCAGAACTCCAACATTGAGAGGAAATGAATCACTGGCTTCAGAGCAGATCATGGAGCTGAGGTCCATGGAACTGGGAGGACTCCCTGACCGTATGACTGCAGTGGATTTCTCTGGGTTTCTTTAGGGATCTGGGATGATGTAAACCAGATTAGTGGAGGCTTTCAGTGCTTCACAAAGATCAGCAGCAGGGAAAAGACTGTGGGCTTGATCATAGTAATTCCTGAGCTTTTTATAAGTACACTGGTATTAATTTAATATTAAAGTGATGGATATACTTCTTTGAATTCACACTTAACAAGTTCAACTCTTTAGTATTCCTTTGCTCCTGTTGGAAACACTGTGCTGGGGACAGTGGGATGCATGCCTGCAGCTTTGGCCATCACTGAGGCTGACCTGGCAGGGTCCTTGCACTGACTCATATCGCAGTGCCCGATGCTGGCTCCTCCAGTGCACAACCTTGCAGCCCACTTCCACAAAGCCACATTATTCATCTGCCCAGGGTGGTCACCTCATCCTTGCTGCCAGGGGCAGGAGAAGTGCTGCAGGAAAGCCCCAGGATTGCTGTGCTGCTGGCTATAGGAAGCTTTGTAACCTGAGCTGTGGTTTTTCCTGGGCTGAGAGTGAAATTCAACCTCTCCCCTGGCATTTGGCTCTGCTGTAGAAGGGGGAGGGAGTCTCTGGGCCTGTATCTGCCCAGTACAAAACAGACTGCGTGATTTCTGAGCGGGCATCTGGCCTTTGTACCTCCTAACATCTCATCTTGCAACAGGTAGAACCCTTGCCAGCCATTGCAGGGCTGAAGGTTTGAGGCTGCCTTTGGCCTCATGCATGCCTTCATGCATTTCCTCCATTACATGGGATTTTAGCATTGCTGGGTTTATCTGCTAAGCCTCAGGGAAAGAAAGGGATGTGCTCAATTTGAGCAAAAATAAAAATATTAAGCCACAGATGTCACTTAAGCCCCATGTCACTGGTTGTCCATCCAGGTGTCAGCAGAAGTCATGCATAGGACAGCTGAGAGCACAGTGAGAGCTTAGCCCTGTGCAAGTGTATTTTGGAGGTTAAATGCTCCTTTCTTAGTGATGTTGATGGTATCTTCAGAATATTTCTGGAGCATGTTAATTTTTTGTGGACATAAGTATGTCGAAATCACATGAGTCATCTCAAGCAAAACAGCAGAAAAGATCTTTAACCACTGTTAGGAGCAATTTTTGCCAAGCATTCATTTGCATGCACTGAGCAACCATCCTGCTGTGAGAGTGCTACACTGGCATTGATTCATTTGCCCTATATGCAATAGGGCTTTTTTTTAGATTCCTGTGTGCCACTAAGGGCAGCCTGTCCAGGTAAGCAGAGGTCCCCGTGCCAGACACCGATGAGATGTGCATCTGCAGGGCATGCGTGCCTTGGCTGCGCTGTCCCATCTGTGCCCCGGGTCCAGCTGTGGGCTCTGCCGGCCGGAACCAAAGTGAAGCAAAATGAACTGAGCTGTGCCCAACTGAGCCACGTGAACCAACGTGGGCCACGCCAAACTGCGCCGAACCAAATGAAATTGGGCCGAGGTAGCCTGAATGGAGCTGAGGTCCACCGAACCGACCGACGCAAACGGGCAGACCCGAAGTCGGGCCGAGCCGCGCCTACACGGGACGGAGCCGAGGGGGGAGGCGTGGCGGGGCGGAGCGGGACCGGGCAGCGCCGGGGGCGGGCGGAGCGGCACGGCGGAGCGGGACTGGGAGCAGCGCAGCGATGTTGCGGGTCGCGGGGTTCGCTTCTCGGCTCTGCCGCGGCTCGGCCCGGCAGCTCTCGGCCGCCGCCGCTTCCCCCATCCCCGCACCCAACCCGAGCCCAGAGATCGCCTACAACAAGGTATGGCCGGGCCGCGAGCTGCGGGCTCCGCGAGGAGGCGGAGAGCTCCGAGGCCCAGGAGCGGCGCGGGCGGCCCGGCTTCGGCCCGCTTGGCGAAGCGCGGCCCCGGGGCGGAACGGCCGGACGCTGGGCGGGATGGCCGAGCGCCGCTGGGAGGCTCAGATCCGCGCTGCTCTGCGTGGGAAGCCCGTGTCCGTGGGGAGGAGCTGCTGCTCGGCGCCTGCCGTGTCTGAGAACTGAGTTCTCTGCTACGCGGGGTGCCTGAAACGGGCCGATCGGGGCAGTGCTGCTGCAGCTCTAGCGCCGCGTACAAGATGGGGTGTGTGAGCGCTGCCCGAAGCCTTGCCCCGCTGTCCCGAGGCTCCCCGTGTCCCCGTTCAGCTCCAGCCGGGCCGACAGGCGCTCGGAGGACCCAGCAGGGCAGGAACCGCTGCCAAGCCATGAGCCGTTTGCTGGGATTTGGATTCTTTTTGCCGACTCGAGGCTGTCTTTTATTGCGCACTTCTAGACTGACATATCTCCTCCTTATCAGTGCCATTTTGGAGTCCTCACAAACCACGTCCCTTTAATTAAACAGCCTGTTAATGTGCCATCTAACTGATTCCTCCAAGGTTTGGATCTAAAGTTCAACACCTATTTGCTCGCTTCATTCCAGATCTTCATAAATAACGAATGGCACGATGCAGTCAGTAAGAAAACCTTCTCTACTATCAATCCAGCAACAGGAGAAGTTATCTGCCAGGTTGCTGAGGGCGACAAGGTAAATGTTCTGTTGACGAGATCCATTCAGTTGCTATCTGAGCTCCCCCCTACAGCTCTGCCACATGCCATGTTTGCAGTAATAAATGTTGGATCTACATCAATGTTATTATCTAGTGCTGCTTGTGCCATTCCTTGACTACAGCTTACATAAGGATCCTCTGGGTTTGCCTCAGTCCAGTGGCTGGGAGGTCTGGGAGCAGTTGTGGGTGGATGTTGCTGTGGGTGCTATGGCAGGAATGTGATCCAGTCGCAGCATGGGAGGAGACAAAAGGTTTGCATCCACCTGGCCTGCTCTGTTGTGGTGTATGTGTGCAGTGGGAGACCATCCCCAGCCCAAGGAAACTTAAGAGAGAGTGATATAACTGTTCTGTGAGTTAGGTGAGGCCCCCCTAGGAGGTTGGCAGAGCAAAGGTTCTGCTTCCCAGCATTGTGGGGCTTGTCCTACCGCCTGGATGCTTGTCTGTATTCCCCAAGGGGGAGGTGAGCAAAGGAAGCCCTGTTGTTGTTTGCTTATCAGCCAGCCAGAACAGAAAACCAACTAGAAACAAATGACAGTCCTGACAGGACAGAATGATGGATTTGAGGTACAGGATCAAGGAAAACATACTGGTGAAATCTAATCCTGAAAAAGTGTCAAAAGCAGATTTCTAGAGCTTTTTCCTTGCCCTGTGCTAGGATGTAAATAACGACCTTGCAGATGATATCGTGGAAATAACTTGACAATATTTGCACTCCACGTAGCTGAAATAACAGAGCGTAAGCACAGGTGGTGGCTGTGCTGCTGCTGCACCCATCTGTTCAGCTCCCCCATCCGCAGGGATGCAGGCAGCAGGAAAGCCGTGCGCAGAGGCTGCATTGCTGCGTGGCACTGCCTGGGCTGACGCTGGGATGAGTGGTCCTGGGGCTGCAGCCTGTGAGCTCTACAGCTCCAGGACTGACGTGTGCCTTGCAATGGTTCATTCGGCTGTTGAGGCAAAGTCCTTGTCCCAGAAAGGCGGTCACGAGCAGCCGCTGCTGCCATGTTTTCTCCAGGAGTCCAGGAAAGGCTTTAGTCGTATTCTGGGAAGGAAGGTGGGAGCTGGTTACCCTTTTCTCATGCTCTTGTCTGGACTCCTCTGCAGGCAGATGTGGACAAGGCTGTTAAGGCAGCCAGGGCTGCTTTCCAGCTGGGCTCGCCTTGGAGGAGGATGGATGCTTCGCACCGGGGGAAGCTGCTGCATCGTCTTGCTGACCTGATTGAGAGAGACCGGGCGTATCTGGCAGTGCGTATTGCAACCTGGGGCAGAGGGGCGCACAGATGGGAGGTTTGTATCCATAAGGTGTGGTGAGGATTTTAGCCATAGCAAAAACTGAGAGAGCTACGAAGGACAGGAAGGGAAATAGTTTGGGGAACCTGAAAGCTAATAGGCCAACACACAGAACTGATCCAAACAGCAAACTGAGAACCAAATCTGAATCTGTATGTGTGATTTTCCCCATCTCGTTGTATTTGTAGGCACTTGAAACTCTGGATAATGGCAAACCTTATTCTATTGCCTACTTGGTGGATCTGGACATGGTTGTCAAATGCCTCAGGTAGGTGTGGAGGCCACAGTGACAGCACAGTAACTCCTCCAGCCCCCCATTCCTGCCCATCTGGCCTGTGGTGGTTGAACCTCTGCACACAGACAGTAGATTTACTGCTGTGGCTGACAAGGCTGGAGCTGACCTGACCTTTCACTCTGCTTCTGGTTTCCTTCCTTTTTTTTTTTTTTGTAATTAAGAATGAAACTGTAATTCTTGTAACTTCCCAAAAGGTTTTGTTTTATGTGTACACTGGATTTGCATGGATAAAGGGATCTGTAATGCAGTACACAAATGACAAAATATACACCGTGCAAATCTCTGGCAAACACACGAGAGACAAATGTTTGTATTTATTGTCCATTTTTATAACCACCTTCTTGGGGAATCCTTGTGTTAGAATGTGCTTTATGAAGTGACTGAAGACAGGAGGAAACCAAACAGCTGAAGGAACATTTCTTGTTTTCTAGCGGCCAGAGTCTTGTTTTAAATTCACTGACCAAAACTTTATTCTTGCCAGGTACTGTGCAGGCTGGTCTGATAAATTCCATGGCAAAACCATCCCTTTAGATGGAGACTTCTTCTGCTACACCAGACATGAGCCAGTGGGAGTTTGTGGACAGATAATCCCGGTGAGTGAAATGTATCAGTAGGTCCTGTGGCATTTCAGGAATTTGGTGTTATGATGAGGATTTATCTTAAAATGCAGGTTATTATCTGTTGTGCTAAGCTCAGCTTCCTTCTGCTGGTAAAAACAAAGTTACACTTGCACCAGCTGGCAGGGCTGTTACTTTGAAAGCACAGAACTACTCATTGATTTGATGGGCCGTGTGTAACATTTACTTTGTATTTCCTGCTGCTGCAAATGAAAAAAGGAACACAAACCTCTTTATAGGAGCTGTCTGGCCCAGAGGCACCGTTCAGGCTTCTGACTCCAGAGCTAGGAAGTAGTTTGTGTGACGAGGAAATACAGCTAGCATGTGCAATTCTGTTTTATATAACGAATCTTTTCTCTGCAACTGGTAGCCAGCACAGCAAGGAGGTTTGTCAGCAACAAGGCCAAATGGATGCCAGGTCCAGTCAGTGATATCTGCTTACAGGAGTAGCCAGACTGACTGCTGCCTGCATTTTGTCTTTGCATGCTTCTTGTGTTTGCATTGTGCAAGAGCTCAACATGAACACCTCACAAGTCTGCAAGTTCTGCTCTGTCATTACAAAGGCTTTCTTTCAAAACACCTCAAAAGAGAAATGTAAATGCTAAACAGATCATAAAGATTAATTACAAAGAGTTGTGGTTTTGCAATAGCACTGAGAAGCTTCACAGTTCAGAGTACAATCTTCCTGGACAAGCAGAAGGCAGTGCCTGAAAAGGAGCCAAACGCAGCTGAGCAGATTGGGGACGATCAGGGAGTGCTTCCATAGGTGCTGCCCCTGCAGATCTCAATGAAGCTCACTAGTTACTTACTCATTAATTGGCAACTTTCAGACTCAGACCAGACAATATTTCTGTTTTCCAGTGGAACTTCCCGCTGTTGATGCAAGCATGGAAACTTGGGCCTGCCCTGGCTACTGGGAACGTGGTTGTGATGAAAGTGGCAGAGCAAACCCCCCTGAGTGGTCTCTATGTAGCTAATCTGATCAAAGAGGTGAGAGAAGAGGCTGGATTCTTAGGGCTGACTCACTGTCACTGTTGGAGTTCAGGGTAATAAGCCCAACTGACGAGTTACAGAGGACATGTGAGAGGGACAGAGAAGTGTTGTCTGATCTGAAGGAAGAATGAATTGTCTCAGATATCCTAGCATTTGTTTTAGCAAAAAACAACCAAACACCCTCATCTCCATACTTATGAGTGCAGAGGGCATCCTTAATTTAGGGAAGGACTCTGAAGTTAAAGTAAGTTACAGCTGTTGGGTGATTAGAAAGCAAAAATACATTTCCCAGCTACGTCTGAGATGCAGGGTGGGGAGAATTGTCCTGGTTCTCACAAACTGAACACTGAAACTGAAGACCTGGGAAATGAAAGTGAGATAGGAAATGCTGTTCTCTATGGGAGGCATATTGGAGCTAACAGATGAGTCTACATGTCATCTTTGATCCTGCAGGCTGGATTCCCACCAGGCGTGGTGAACATCATCCCTGGCTATGGGCCCACTGCAGGAGCTGCTATCTCTGCCCACATGGATGTAGATAAAGTGGCCTTCACTGGCTCCACTGAGGTAAAGGAAGACAAATCTTTAGGCCTTTGGGACATAAAGAGCATTTAATTCTTGTAAAACATCTTCTGTACAAAATACTGGAGGGGCATTGCCTTCTACAGCTTCTTTTGAAAAGTACAGCTGACTTCAGCGTGTGACACTTTATTTTACTTTACGTAAGACTCCTTTTAGGTGCTTTGTTTTAGAACATCTAGATGCTTTAGAATACTTACTATTGTTTTCCTTGTACTGGAGGTGAAATTCTGGGCAGATCTCAGTTGTTCCCCCAAAGCCCTAAGAATGAAGGGATTACTATTAAACTGCTGACGGAAATCTAAAACCAGCTGCCCTGCCAGGTGCTGCTGGATGCTGGAGCTAATCCCTAATTCCTCTTCTCATGATGCAGGTTGGGCACCTGATCAAGAAAGCTGCAGCAGAGAGTAACCTAAAAAGGGTGACACTGGAGCTCGGAGGAAAGAGTCCGAATATAATCTTGTCTGATGCTGACAGTAAGCACCTGCTTGATCTGTACCTTTCACATTGGCTTGCTGCAAGCAGAGCTAGAGGAAAAGAAATCCCTCCTATGTTGTGTGATACTCCAGCTCTGACACCACCTGGCTGTGAACAGTAATTATTCAAACAAGTCACTTGGGTTGGTTTTATTTATTTGCTTTTTTCTCTCCTCCTCAATTCCAGTGGACTGGGCTGTGGATCAAGCCCACTTTGCCCTCTTCTTCAACCAAGGGCAGTGCTGCTGCGCAGGATCCCGCACTTATGTCCAAGAGGATATATATAATGAGTTTGTGGAGAGGAGTGTGGAGAAGGCCAAGTCCAGGGTGGTTGGAAACCCATTTGACTTTAAAACTGAGCAGGGACCTCAGGTGAGAGCAGGAAATGTCTTGAGCCACTATCTCATGAAATAACCCAATCTCGAGTAACTGCGCATCACTGGGTTAGAATGAAAGATGTCCTCCAGTCTCCTCGTTAATCTCCTTTGAACTGTGCCCATTATCTCCTTGTGCAGGAGGGAGAAGTTAATTAACCGTTCTGATTATTTCCAACCCCCCCACTTGAAAGAAGCATTTAAAAATTATCATCTCTTTTTGAAGCCAGCCTGGCAGTCTGTTGAAATGAGGAACTGATAGAGCACAGCTGCACGCAGAGCAGGTTCAGTTACACCCCTTTTTTACCCCTGACAAATACCAAACTGATCTGCCTGTCCTGACGGCTCTTAGGTGGATGAGGAGCAGTTTAAGAAGATCCTTGGTTACATCAGTACTGGGAAGCGTGAAGGAGCCAAACTGCTGTGTGGTGGCAACCCTGCTGCAGATCGTGGCTATTTCGTCCAGCCAACCGTCTTTGGTGACGTGCAGGACAACATGACGATTGCCAGAGAGGAGGTGAGGCCTGCAGCAGTAGTTTCTCTCTACTTTGTCCTTCTGCACCCTCTGATGCAAAATGATCCATGTCTACAAGCACCAGACACTCATAAACTGAGAACAGAAATGGAAATGTGGCACTTAGGAAGTTACCACAGCAAACTTCACCCTGTGTTGTGACATGCTGGGTGCTTTGTGATGTGGGAGGTGGCCACATAGATACTTTGAATTTAGCATCCTGGGTAACTTCTAATGTACGTGTGTAATTCCAGTGTCACCAACAGAGCCTCTCCTGAGATCAATTTACAGACTTTTGTCATGTGATCTGTTTGGATTATGCAGATATTTGGGCCTGTCATGCAGATTATGAAGTTCAAAACAATTGAGGAAATAATTGAGAGAGCAAATAACACCAAGTATGGTCTAGCAGCAGCAGTCTTTACAAAGGATATTGACAAGGCAAACTACGTGTCTCAGGCCCTGCGAGCTGGAACAGTCTGGTAAGCCTTGTCAGCTCCTTCTCCTTAAACTGCTAGAAGCTTTCTTGTGCTCTCATTTCCCATCAAGCTTGCTGTTTGATAGCCTCTGTCTGCTTTGGATCCTCACAGAATGTAATGTCAGACCTTCAGCTGCAATGCTGATTTTTGGTACAATTTAGCTCTAATAAGCTTCTGTTCTCCCACTGTGAATTAGCAAATGGGGTGGGGGGAAAAGAAGCTCAGTGCTGCAGCTGACAATGTCAGCAGCTGCTACAGGGCTCTGGTGCCAGCAGTGATCAGACCATCGAGCACATCTGTACAATCTGGGCTCTGCTCAGATACTATTCTGTATTCTGAAGCCATGCTGAAAATTATGCCTAAGTCAGGACTTTGCCACAGTTCACACAGGGGATTTTGGAGACCCAGCATCTCACTATTTCATTTATTTAAGGACAATGGGCAAACCTTGTATCATTTTTGTTTTAATCACATGTCCTTCAGAGTTTTGGATAGCAACCCAGACTCTTGGTTATGTGATGCAAGATGTGAGCTAATTTCATGGTGTTCTGTTTCCTGGTCGATGAAGATAAACTTCCAGTACTGAGTAACTGCTGACTAAGATAACTAACAAATATGGAAATTGTGCCCAGAAATTCAGCCATCCCTCTGCTGTAAACAGACATTTGCTGTGAAAGAGCTCTTGCATTACCCTTACAAGGGTAAACAAGAGGTTCTTAACTCTTGGTTTCTTTTTCAGGATAAACTGCTATAATGTGTTTGGTGCACAAGCTCCATTTGGTGGCTACAAGGCATCTGGGAATGGGAGAGAGCTGGGAGAATATGGTCTGGAGGCATACCTGGAAGTGAAAACTGTGAGTATTCCTGTTTCTGGGTATCTCCCAACCTTCTGCTGTAACACAAAATTGTCTTTGTATGTATTGGTATAGGCTGGCCAGAGAGCTGCAGTTCTTTCCAGTACTTCAAACAAACTTGGAGCTGCACGTGTGAAATAACCAGAAACAAAACTCTGTGTAACTGTATTTGAAACAGAAAGCCAGTCCTGTTTTATACAGCTGAAAAAAGCAAGGATGTGTGACCTGACTGATAAGTTACCAGTTGCCTGCACCACTTGGCACAGTCTAGCTCTTTCTCCCTGTAAATAATGCAGGTGTGTTGGCTTCTCTGCGAGCTTTGTGGAGACCAGAGAGAGCCTGTGCTGGGGGTGCATGTCAGTTTATGTGGGTATAAACTTGTAGTTGCACTCATCACTTAAGAGGGGGAATTTGAGCAGTGAACACCAACCCTTAATGCCAGTATCCTGAGTTGACACACTTGGGGAACTAACCCCAAGGCTGGGGAAGCATTTCAAGCATTGGGCAGTCCTGTTGGTGCAGAATGAACAACTTCCCAGAAGGCAAGGCAGAAGGGCTGTCCCATTGCCTGCCTGCAGCTGCAACGTCTCAATTGTGACAAGGCTCTTGGCAAATGGCAAGCATGCTGCTCACCATCAAAGTGTGTAATGGTTCAGGGCTTCCAGCATGTGACTGGCAGGGAGCTCATGTGCTGTAGGAGCTCCAGGTGACAACAAACAAGTGTGCCTATTCCCACCCCTCCAATGAGTCAGAAAGATCCCAAAACTGAGGCGCTCCCAGGCAGCAACACGCCGACCTCTGGTTCACCCCAGGGAAATGCTGCTGCCTCCCAGCCCTCAAGTGAATGTAACCAAACAGTCTGCAAGAAAGTAGCACGTGATTTTTGTTTTCTCTAGGTGACCACCAAAATTCCACAGAAGAACTCCTAAAGGACAGCAACCTCCACGTGCTTGGAAAAACCTATGCAGCTTCATGAGATACAAAGCAAGAAAACCTCTTCCTCTAACACACAAAACTCAAACAGAAAATACATAGCTCTGCATTAAGAAACTATTCCTTACAAGGTGCCTGAAGGAGCTTTTCTTAAAAATCTTACTGAGCTTTATCTTTTTAAAATACCAAATACAATTACTTGAGCACTAACGTGGTACATGGGCGTACTCCTGTTGCATCTGTAGCGACCGCGCTCCCAGCCCCACCCCCCCAATCATTTAGCTGGGGCTCCTAACAGTTCTGTGTAAGCCACCAGCCGCTCTCGGCACGCTGCTGTTACCTCACCAGACGAGGCGCGGAGCTGCGCAGCGCTCTGCAGCGCGGCCTGAGGGGACGTGAGGTGAACGGCTGAGGCACGGGCTGCCTCTGAGCTGCTTCCCCCGCTCTCGTTTTGTACCTGCTCGCAATAAATACTTTTCCCTCAGTATCGCTGACCCTACCTTCTCTCGGAGCGGGGACTTGAGCAGAGACTCGAGCATACGGACGATTTTGCGCTGCCTTCCCTTCGCCCTTCGGTCCGCCCGCGCTCTTCACGCCGCGCCTCAGCAGGAGGCGCCAACAACGCGCGCTCCTCATCTCGCGAGTCTTCACTCCGCCCCGCAGCCTGAGGAGCCGCGCTCTTCAGACGTCGCTAGGAGGCGCCCGAACCTCGGAAGGCCCCTCAGGGGCTTTCACGGCTCCGTCGCGCTCCTAGGGCTGTCCGTCGCCCGCCTGTAAATCGCCGCGCCGCCTCGGTGGAGGATCCTAAAATTCTCCGGTGGGATCCAAGAGCAAGCGGGGGGCTCGGAGCGGCCTCTCGCGTCGAGTGTGGCGGCAACGAGAGCTCCGCGGCGGGCTGCGCGGCCCGGCGGGGCTGCCCGGCTCGGAGTGCCGGCGATGTCTGGCTCCCGGGCGGCGGCGGCGGCGTTGGCTCTCGGACGGCGGCGGCGGCGGCGGCTCCGGGGCTGAGCGGCGGCGTTGGGCTCGGCCGCGGCCTTCCTGCGGCGCTCTCCCGGCCCCCTCCGGTCCGGCCGGCCGGGGATGAGGCGCTGCGGCTCGGCCACAAAGGCTCCCCCGGGGCTGCCCGGCGCCTAGCGCGGCCCCGTGCCCGCTGCTCCTCGGGCCCGTGGTGAGGACGGGCCGGCGGTTCTCGGAGCCCCGCGGGAGGATGTCGGGGGATACCGAAATGGATAAAGCGATCAAGGTAAGGAGCGGCTCTCGGCATCCCCGCCGTGGACGCCGGTGGCTGTTTCTCGGTGGCCGCCGGCCTTCGGCTGCTGTCGTCTCCCTCGGTCACAGAATCACAGAATGGCAGGGTTGGACGGGACCTCACGGATCATGAATCTCCAACCTCCCTGCCACATGCAGGGCCACCAACCTCCCCATTCAAAGCTAGACCAGGCTGCCTAGGGTCTAGAAGTCTAGAGACGCCAACATCCAGTCTGGCCTTGAACACCTCCAGGGATGGGGCATCCACAACCTCTCTGGGCAGCTGTTCCACTACCTCACCACTCTCTCTGTAAAGAATTTCCCCCTGACATCCAACCTAAATCTCCCCTCCCTCATCTTAAAACCATTTCCCCTCGTCCTGCAATTATCAACCCTTTCAAAGAGTTGATTCCCATCCCCTCTATAGACTCCTTTTAGGTATTGAAAGGCTGCAATAAGGTCACCCCGCAGCCTTCTTTTCTCCAGGCTGAACAAGCCCAGCTCCTTCAGCCTGTCTTCATAGGGGAGGTGAAGTCACCTGGGAAGGACAGCTGACAGCTGGGAGAACAGCCGTGAGGGTTTCCCTGAGCCGATCTCTGGGGTTGGGCTGGAGGCATCGGGGGGAAGCAGTAGGAAAAGTTTGAAATAGGGCACTTTAAAAGTTGTGATTTTCCCACTCAAGGCAATTAAGAGGATACAGAGGGTTATTTGGACAACTCCTTGTGTTCAGCGAGTGATGTGCACATGGTCAGTGCAGCTTCTGCTGTAGTCACCACCTCAAAACACAGAACTTACATCAGCAAGGAGAAGTTCAATCAAACCTGAGTTATAACCTACTATCTGTGTAGCGGAGAGCTCAGCAAAAAGCTCAGCCTGAAAGAATCAAAGCATGGTTTGAATTGGAAGAGACCTTCATGACCCCCAGCCCCACCCCTGCCATGTGCTGGCTGCCCCCAGCTCAGGCTGCCCAGGGCCCATCCATGGCCTCGGGCACCACAAGGGATGGGGCACCCACAGATCTGGGCTCTCTTCACTCTGAGTGAAGAATTTCCTCCTGACGTCTGACCTAAATCTCCCCTTTTTTAGTTCAAACCCATTGGCCCTTGTCCTGTCACTATTTGCTTGTGTAAAAAGTTGGTACTCCTGCTTATAAATTTTCCTCAAGTCCTGGAAGGTCCCAGTGAGGTCTCCCTGGAGCCTTCTCTTCTCCAAGATGGGACTGAAGTAAGTTCTGCATTCAGACGGATGCTTCTAACCCAAAGTACTTTCCTGATTCTGTTCTTGATCTGAACCCCTCTGAGCTGAGAGGGGCAGGAGCAGACACAGCGCTGTCCCTACAGCCATACAGCAGTTCTGATACAGGTCTTTATATGAAATACTTAAAAACTGTCTGTTTTGAAAGTCTCCTGAATAGCTGCTTCAACTGCACTGTGCTAAGACTGATGGCAAAGCAGGGAGCCAGCGTATCAGCCTGGTGCTGGATTTCATGGTTAGGTTGCAGCCTGAGCTGTCTGAACTCAGGGCTCAGAATTCTTCCCACTTGGAGCTGTTTTTATTCAAAATGCAAAACCCATGTCTTTTAAATCAATCTGGACTTCAGAAGTGAAGAAGTGTTGGACTTCTCTTGCGTTGATTATTTTATTTATATTTTTTTATAGAATGAATCACAGAATGGCCTGGGTTGGAAAGGACCTTAAAGATCACCCAGTCCCATCGCCCTGCTGTGGGCTGGTTGCCACCCACTATATCAGGTTGCCCAGGACCCGGTCCACCCTGGCCTTGGGCACTTAGAGGAGTGGGGCATCCACAGCTTCTCTGTGCCAGAGCCTCACTGCCCTCATGCTGAAGAATTTTTTCCGAATGTCAAAGCTAAATCTCTCTTCTGTCAGTTTAAATCTATTACTCTATGTCCTATCACTGTCAAAGCTCAGTGAGCTTTGCAAAGATAAATCCTGCAGTGGCAAGTAACAGAGAAGATTGCAAATGCCAATACAGGGGGTGTTTTTAAGTAGATCCTTTTGGAATTCATTTACTAAAGGAAATGTTTATGAAGCCATCCATGCTTTGTGACAGATGACACCTTGCACAGAGAGTTCTCAGCATGTTGTGTTACCATCACTTGATCTCAGCCCGGATCCCTCAGTTCCTTCAGGTGATTGTTGGGCAGCCCTGGGGCAGCGCTGCTGAAATAGATGTTGGTATTTTCACAGGGCAGATTTTTATCAGGGTGATTCAAATATTTCACTCTGTTTGAATGGGATGAGTCAGTGTTGATTTACAGCTTCGTACGGTCTTGCTGCTGGGTTTGGAGCTTTTGTTTCTGAATTAGGAGATGGAAGCCCTGTTGTTCGTGAAGGAGCAGTGAAGTTCTCAAATACTGTGTTTTATATCAGTAGGAGATGGTGAAGAGTGTTTCTTCGTTACTGGATTATTCTTTCTAACTTGTGAAGCTACTTTTGAAGAAAGATTTGAATCTAAATAAAAGTGCAGGGAAAAAATAAAGTTGGGTTTTTATTTAGAACAATAATGCCCAGAATGTGCAAAAATTGACTGATCTGCAGCTTTTGAGTTTGTTCTTCGGGAACTGACAACTACCAGATCTTATTCTCACTTCATCTGATTCCCATTCCTCTGCCCTGTTCTTCCAACTCAGCTGAAGTGGGGTTTCACTCAGTAATGTTCTGACATTGTGCTTTCGCTCGGGTTGTGATGCCTTTGGTTCTCTGTGTCTGAGCAGCAGGAAACTGAAGTTGGCTTTTCCCTTATGTGCTTCTCACAAGGTAGTGAAATCTGTGTTAATTTAATCGATAGAAGCACAAAGAAGCGTTGTCTGCTTTGCAAACTAAAGCGCTGTGATCCCGTGTTCCTGGGGCTTTGCTTTTTCTCCCTCTTTATTTTAAAACTCCACCAAAAATCTCCACTTAAAAGCTACCTTTCACTGTTTCCTTTCATGCTATCATCTATGATCTATGCAGTGTCCACTCTGGGTTATTTCCTCCCTTTGTCTCTTACACTCTCCAACCCCTTCAGCTCTTGCCTTAAGGATCAGCTTTCCTCTGGCTTTGTTTCCAACCCTTGTGGTTTCAAGTTTGGCTACAGTGTGGTCAGTGGGGCCACAACCTGTGGGTCTTTCCATGCCTTCAGCAGCACAGCCTCCATCTGTACCACGAGTGGATGCTGAAGTGCTGCAGTTTTGAATGAAAATTAATGTAGGCAGAAAATCTGACCCAAAAAAGTTGCTTTATGTGTGGTTGGCTCTTCTAAGCATTTACTTGCTTGCTTAAGCATCTCTGGAGCCAGCTTTCACTACCACCTCCTTTGCTTGGAGTTGATCAGAAAGCAGAGCTTTTTGGAAGCAGATTCTGAGCACGTGTGTGATTTGTGACCCCCAGCGTGTGCGCACCATTCTGCACCCAGTCTGCATTTCTCAGTGCTCCATTTGCACCCCACAAATGTTAGGACATGTTGAAACACGACCACACCCAGGCTGTGTCATAACAAACCCCTGCCCTGGTTGTATGGATTTGGACAAAAGGATTATAAACATGAGCTCGGTTCACTCTCAGACAAGCTAAAATGAGTCACACAGCAGTTAATTTGCAGTATAGTGATTCCAAAGGTTTGCAAACCTGGAGAAAACAGAAAAATTATTTTCCATTACACTGTATGACCAAGAAGGATGTGATAATGCTGTAACTGGGCCTTTGCAATTGAGCATTTGTAGGAAGAAAGCTGGATTTAAGGGCTGGGCAGGGAGAAATACCCTTTGTACACTGCCTGTGTTAGAGCAGCAAGATCCCATTTGCTGTTCTCAATAATCCTGCTTCAAAATGCCGGGGGGAGCAGCCTCAGCAGCACAGAAATTGCTTTCTGCTGAGCTGTATTCTGTGAGCGTTTGCTCTTAGGTTTAATTTGCCTAGGTGAAGCAGAACTGCAGAACAGGCTCCGTCTGCACTCTGCTATCTGCAGATCAGCTGCTGAGCTGGGTGTTTGGGAAGGGCTGTAGTAATTTTGATGTTTGTTTTTTTTTTTGTTTGCTTTTTCCCCTCCCCCTGCTCCTTCTTGAATAGGAAACCTCCATTTTAGAGGAGTACAACATTAACTGGACTCAGAAGCTGGGAGCTGGGATCAGTGGCCCTGTTAGGTAAGGCCACGCACCTGTGGATCTGTACGTAGTATCGGCTGTGCAGAAGTGAGTATGTATTTTAAGTGTGCAAAGAGCAGAAGGCATGGCGGTGTTGAAGGCTCTACAAGCAAATAAATGTCTCTACTCACAGCTGAAGTGTGAGCAGGGAATTTGCTGTTGCTGGGTTTGCTGGAAGTAAAAATTCTGCTCACTGCTGCCATATTCCTGAAATCAAGCAGCCCCAGGGATCGGCTGTGACCCGGCGGCACAGGGAAGTGCAGCTCAGGCACTGATGTCCTCCTGCTGCCCCATCTCACTGCTCCCATCCCAGTGTCAATGCTGGGACCATCAACACCATGTGCTGCTTTACCAGCTGCTTTTTCAGCTCCTCACATGAGGCCCAGCAGAGTGTGCACCCAGCACCAGGTTTTGTGTGGCTCTGTGACCACTGCAGGAGCTGGAAACAAAGCTTGTTTCCCTTTGGGAGCAGGAATTTGTTTCCAGCGCCTGTGCTCAGATGCGTGGGAGCCTGGTGGGCTGTTGTCCCCTGCCACCATTTATCTTTCTTTTCAAGCAATTGGATTCTCATC